CTACAGGTCGATGAGGAAGGACACACCTTCCGACCCCTGACTTTCTCGCGTGATTGCACTTTTACCGGACAAGGTGATTTTTGTTCTTCGATCGATGCAGTCCTTGTCAACCAGGTTGCTTTCACAGCGTTGCAAGACATCCAAGCGTTGGAATCTTTTAGCACGCAACATCGAACCATTCGTGCTTCTTTCAAATGGGACTCCATTTTCCAAATTGGAGACATCCATGTCAAATTCGCCCCCCTTGACACGTCCAGTGTCCCCAAACCTGAGTGCCATAATTCACCGGAGAATGAAAAGGTCACCCAAGTTTGGGAGAAGCTCTATTTTGATAAATATAGGTTGATGGATTCCATTCACGACAAATGGGACCTTATCAATGCGTTTTGTGTTGATTCGCTGATAAGTAGTGGTGCCAAATGGGGCTTTGGAGAGCGTAAGCGCGGTTCCCTCCCTAAATTCCAACCCAGAAGGATCTGCCCTGGGCAGTTGCCCCTCTGGCGGAGCGAAAACGGAAAAAGGATCCCTCCTGTTCAACACGCTCCAGAGGTTGCAAGAGCTTTTCACCAGAGCCCAACGGAGAACCACCTCAATTGCTGATTCTCGAATCTTCCATAAGACCGCAAAACGAGCATGGTCCTCCCTTCACCGTCTTCGATCCCCTTTTGTGTGGAACACTCCACACGCGCCCGAATTGCTTGACATCTTCCACAACATTTCGTGGATCAGAGCTGAGGCGGATGAATGGGAAAAGCAGAAGAAATACAGTCGAATCAACAGTTGGAAGCAGAAACTTCGTGAATCCGCACAGGGTAATTGCAAGTTCATCTTTCAACACTTGAAGAATAAAGTTCGGGACGAACCCCCCAATCTTGTTGTTGATGCCAGCGGAAACACGGAACTTCCCCTGATGCTGCGATGCAACTCATCTCCCAAACATGGGATTCGGTTTTTAGTGCAAACGTGCTCCATGAGGATCCAATTGACATGCTTCGTGTTGTTTGGCCATACTTGGATCATAACATGCCTTCCTTCACCTTGCCACCCCTCACGGGGGAAGAATTGTTTGTGACCATTCAAAAGCGAAAATCACATGCAGCTCCCGGCATGGACGGCTGGCGAACGTCCGATCTCACAAGCGCTTCCACGGGCTTGTTGCGATGTCATAGCTGCTTGGTTTGATGAAATCGAGCAATTGTGTGATTTCTCTTTGCCGGATGTCCTTGTCCGAGCCAAACAGGTTATTTTACACAAGGCTGGACCTGTAGACCCTTTGAACAAGCGTCTCATCACGGTCTTGTCTCCATTGCTGTTAGCCTATACAGGAACTCGCTCCCGCCATCTGCAAACGTGGCAGACCACGATACTCTCTGCCCAGCTATGTGGTGGTATAGCCGAGCGATCCATGACTGCCATCAGCACTGGACTCCGTATTGAAATTGACCATGCTGAAGCTTGCCAGCAGCCACTAGTAGGCATCAAATTAGATCAGTCAAAGTGTTTCGATAGGATCGTACCGCAGTTCGCTGCCGCTTTGTTCTTAGCGTTTGGCATCCCGAAAGGAATTGTGAACTTCTTTGTAAAAATGTATACTGGCCTCACGAAGCATCTTTCGTATCGAGGGTGGGTTTCTTCTAAGACTATCACCTGCGCCAACGGGGTGGCCCAAGGGTGTAGCTTTTCCCTCCTTGCAATTAACGTCTACATGGCTGTATGGGTAAGATTCGTCACTTTGATCCCGCGGTCCCGCATGTCACATGTAAGGCGTTCATTGACGATGCTTATTAGTGGGTCAAACTCCAACACATGGCTCAGTTGAGACAAGCCTTGTTGGTTACAGAACAGTGGAACAATCTAATTGGCCAAAAACTCAATCCGAGCAAAAGTACTTTGTGGGCAACCTCAAAAAAGGCTCGGAAAGAAGCCCGCTTGATGTTTCCTGCGATTCCCATTGCTTTGGAATTTGACGTCTTAGGAACAAAGATTTACACCTCCGCGTGTAATGCCATGGCTTGTCCTGATGCCAAAGTGGAACGTATTTGCGCAGATATTAAAAATATTTCCGCATTGCCACTGCCACAAAAGGTAAAAGCCAAGTTGATTGCAACAAAGGTTATTCCCCAATTCACTTTTGCTGCAGACATTTCGTCCATACCAGTAAGTGTCATTAATCGCTTTCAAAATGCGATTGCTTCAGCCTTGTGGTACAACCGCCCGCATTGGAGATCAAAGATGCTTGTTTTCTGTTTTCTTGCTCAACCATGTTATGTGGAACCCACGGTTGCTCGGGCGTACACTGCAGTCCGGAATATGTGGAGGTTTCTCCACCTCCACCCCGAAAACCTTGCAGTTCTTGTTTCCACTTACGAGTGCTCCATGCAATCACCTCATAGCTTGTTGTATCATTTCACTAAGGCCTTGAAGATCTTCCATTTGGCATTGTACCCCAACCTTGATGTTGGCATCGGTACGAATCGTTTCCAGATTCTTGATGTCGCTCCGAAGGATTTTTGTGATGGGCCAGCAGTTTTGTTATGAGAACTCTGCAAAGAAACCACGTAAAGACTTCTATAAACCTAACGGTTTGGTCGATGGATACTTATCCACCATCTTTCGTCAACGCCATAAACATTCTCTTGATTACAAAAGTTTGCTTCCCCATTTTGACGCTCAGATAGTGGGTTGTACGGTCACCAACGACCGCAGGAAAGCTGCAGGTTTTGACGACACTTCAGACTGTCGCTTTTGTGGCGCAACCAAGGAAAGTTTGAACCATATCGTCCGAGAGTGTGGGGCATCATCCATTGCTCCCAAAAAGCTTCAAGAGCATGAGTTCGGCTCAAATTTTATGCTGCTTGTGATCTTTGAGCACCCAGTCAAAGTGGCTGACCAAAGACTGGCTATGACAGCCTGGGATCCTTCCTGCATTGCTGTTTTTGATCCTTCAAAGCCTCATGTTTCTTTATGGACAGACGGCTCAGTTGTTTTCCCAGAATCCTTCTGGTTGACTTGTGCAGCATACTCCATTGTTGATGAACAGGAACAGTGCATTGAAGTTGATTGTGTCAGACATTTGTGCCTGAACTCGTATACAGCAGAGCTTTACGCAATTCTTCAGGCCTTTGCCAAGCAAGATGGCCCTCTGACCATCCACACAGACTGTCAGACCATCGTTGATTTGTTTCAAACTTTCTTGACGACGGAACGAATTGCAAAGTCTTGGAGCCAATTTGGCCATGTGGTCACGAATTGCCAATATTTGGCACGATCGCAAACGCACTCATTCCATGCCTTTGCAGTTGAAGTGGCAGAAAGCACATGTTTGCGACCATGTCCCGCTCAGCAACATTTTGATGGAACATACACAACCTTTTGGCCTCACACCGCAAGCAGTTCGGTGCAACCGCATAGCAGACGAGGCTGCAAGGACATGTGCCCTTCGGTCTGCAGCAATCCATCCTCAATTGTTTCCATATGTTCAGCAGGAGGCGTACAAACGACAGGTTGCGCTTGCTGAATTGAATCAAGTCATTGGGTTTGCTGCTCCACAAAGGGTCATTGCTTCCACAAAAGAAGAACAGTTGGATGTGCATGATGACAATGCTTTTCAATTGCGGTTCCCACAGTGGGATTGGCATCCCCAGCTTCACTTGTTCTCATGGGCCCCGACTGCACTGAACCGTGACATTGAAGAGAGCCTACGTGTAAGTGGAGAGGATCGGGAAGCCGTGCTGGATTTCTTGATGTCCTTGAAATGGCACGTACATCCCGCCCAATCGGTGGCATATGTGGAACTCACTTTTCTTTTTTGTGCCCGGAAATTTAGTCTCTCCAGTGTCTCTTCGCCAACTTTTGGATGTCTTGAAGGTGGTCAAGCGAGTTTGCTCCAATCTTTACCAATTTGGTGAACAGACAATTCTGCCTGGAGTGCACAACTCCACCGCGGTTCATCACTGTGGTCGTGCCATTCCTAAAGGCTGTACCCAAGGTGGACGACCGTATATTTCCGGAGCTGAACTTCAGAGATTTGCAGCCTTGTTCCTCGATGGCTGTACTCAAAGCCTATCAACGTGGTGCTTCGATTTCTCGCTTTGTGTTGCCTAAATTAGGTGCATGTTCCTGTCTAGTGACTATTTTCCTGCCGGACCGACCAGAGTGTCTCCGGTAGCGCGTCGTCGACACGAACGCATGAAGGGTGAATAAGTAGAAATTCAGAAATGCTACAAGGTGCTCTATTTGTGAGAATTGTTCTGATGAATGTGATGAACAAGTTAGAGATACCAAAACATAAAATAAAAGCCACACAAATAACCAATTCTTCAGAAGTCTTGTCTTGGGGTGGGTGTCCAAAAAAAATCCTAGAAGACTCTTTGGTGAGTAAACCAAAAAAAAACAAACACAACAACAACGACAATTGCTGGGAGGTCTTGGGCTGGGGGGGGTGTCCAAAGACTCTGTCAGGATTGTTTTTTGCTTTTTCTTTTTTTTGGTTTTCTCACCAAAGATTCTTCTAGGATTGTTTTTTTTGTTTTTTTGGTTTTCTCACCAAAGAGTCTTCTAGGGGAGGTCTTGGACACCCCCCCAAATCAAAAAAAAACAAACAAAAAAACAAAAAAAACAATTCCTGGGAGGTCTTGGACTGGGGGTGGGGGGGTGTCCAAAGAGTCTGTCAGGATTGTTGTTTTTGGTTTTATTTTTTTTGGTTTTATTATTTTTTTTTCGGTACTCTGCATTTTGTCAGAGGACAGCAGTTGAGATGTCCTTGGCAATTCATCTGAGTAGATCCTTGAAAAAAAATACCAAAATGCACCTCCACTTCCAGGGCCTGCCCTTCTGTAAAAATGTAGGTTGTGAGGGGGTTGCATTTAGTTGGCAACTTAAGCAGTAAAGGTGGCAGGAACAAGCAACTTTAGTAGACGAGGAGTGGGGCAGAAGCTTCCTTCAAGAACTCTTCGCATGGTCGAAACAGTTCCTAGTTTTTGGTGCATTCCCGGGCCCAGGTTACCCGACGTGGTGGACGGAGAGAAGCTGCATGAGGTGATTTGTGGGGATGTCGCTTCAACGCATCTTCAGAAGACGCGCCGCAAAGGAACATGACTCTAGAATCTATATTTGTCCTTTGTCATGTGGGTGCAACATGCAAGGGGACTCTTCGTGTTTGGTAAAGTGCTCTCTGCACTTTTCTGTGTATATATATATTTGTTTCTTTCTCCAAAATCGCAACTCCAACTCAGGCAAGTGGCACAGTGACGCTGAACTTGACCCCCTCGCAGTTTCTTCCCTGTGAGGAAAGCTCAGAATGAGAGCTTTCGTTTTAGGATTTCTCGAAAGAACTGTGACCAAACTGTGGGCGCTAAGCTGTGCAGGCTGGCACCTACATTCGCGTGCAGAATGCAAAGGTCAGAATGAAAGGCAGATCTGTGTTTTTATGTGTTTTTTGAAATATGTCTTTGCAGTCTTTACTAACCAATGATTTATGCTTTATGTATTACTGTTATGTGTGTTGCAGTTTTCTGCTGCAAAGCTGTGTGAGGTGGATACATCCGTGTGGAGGTGGATAAATGGGGCAAAGTCTCATCAGCTGAGTCTCCAGAGGCCAGGTGTTTGACGTGGAGGGCGGAGCTATGCGGAGCTCTTTGACTCAGAGTTAGGTGTTTTCAACATAGTTCGCAAGAACTCATGCTTTGGACGCCTTTTGCCTTATTTCAGAGCACTCGAGAGGCGGACTTTGAGGTGAACCTCAAGAATGATGTGTCTGCTGTTGAATATGAGCTCAAATAGGCGGTCGTTGGAAACAAAAAGTTTTAAGCTTTGTAAATAAACTTAGCCAGCTGCTCTTTGTTGCTGTCACTGACCGACATCCCATGACGTCACCACTTCAGCACTCGTCGAGACTCAGGGCTGATTGAAAGGGACAGCAGCTTCAGCAGCCACCTATCCATTTCAATACACCACGAAGAGCGACAGATTGTCCTCTTGAGATTGTCGCAGATCGACAAAGTACCGCCTGACTAATGGTATGACGTATGACTTGCAACTCCCATTAAGAAGCGTTGCCCCACATCACCCAAAACTCTGTTGACAAGGCTTAAGTTCGGCCTCGCCGTTCAGTCTAGGACCTGTTGCCGTCAAATTGTAAGATCATTGTCATTGTCAGTCGCCTTTGGAGATCCTGCTCACAAAACAACTGGATTTTCTTGAGCCAAGCAAGAGAGCAACGTATTTCTTGGAACAGGCTGCAGAGGCTGCAGACCAGTAAGATTCAGCCTTTGAATCTGAAGTTTGTATCCGTATTTGCTTGCCATGGCTTGTGGCCGCTCTTGGATCAGGAGGCTGGTAGCTGATGTGCTTTCAGGAAACATTCCAGATCTTACTCAATGATCTCAATGCAATTGATTCGATGGATGCCCCTCTGAGGATTTTTGCGGCTCTACTATTTATAGCGTCTTATGCTTACGAGGTGGCCACAAGCGATCAACTGACAAGATGCGTGAATGAACCTTGTTGCAACACAGTTACGGCTTCTTGAAAGAAGCACGTTGGCACTTGGATCGCTGGAAGGTGAAGAAATTGAAGTTTTTGACCATCACCTCCTTTGATGGTACAGTTTTGCGGGCAGACGTGAGCCTGCCAATGACAAGTACGGGCGAGAAGTTTCCTATTTTGATTATGGCCAACTCCTGGAGCGTCCCGCAGATCGAGTGCCTTTTCTAACTTTGGCAAAGTTGTCGAAAGTCTGACAGTCTGTTCACTTTGACGACCATTTTATCAGGTATGTGGTGCAAGCACAAGAGCTTGCTCGCGCTGGTTACATCATTTTGGAATATGAGCCACAGAAGAATAGCGGAACAGCATGGAAGCACTTGTAGTTCTAAGCACTTTGGCCAACCTGTTTCTTCGGTGTGCCGGCCTTCCGCTGTCTGCCTGAATTTGCCTGATACCGCAGTTTTGCTTTGGAGAAACCATCTTGATGCGATGTTTTCCAAGGAGACACGTGGTTGGTATCGCTCCGGAGGGGAGATCGACTGTGCTGGAGAAAAGGACCAACGAGACATCTCGGAGGTAATTTCCTATACATTGAATCGCAGTGCCTCGGCAGCGTCCTTAAACTAACTAACTATGAAACTCAGATTGCTCCCAACGACCTTAAATATTAAATTGGTGTTAAGATCTTCAGATCAGATGCCAAAAGGTTCATGGTGGTGTCGCGAGCATTGATTGAGGTGACTGGCAGCCAGACCCCGAACGCTTGGCCATGGTTGGGATCTCTTATGGGGCAGGCCTAGCATTGCTCGGTGCCGTTCGAGATGTGCGGATCAAAGCAGTGGTGGCCATGAGTGGTTGGACAGACTTCCAAGAGGCGCTCTTCAAAGGAGGCAGGGCTGGACCCCTTAGTGGCATGCAGTGGCCCAGCCTCTAGCTCTAAGACAAGTTCTGCAAAAAGACACCTTTAAGCCTTTAGGGTCCTTTAGGCCTTTACGCAGACAGTTCTTTACAAGAGGTTTCTATTTTCTTTCATTGTGGATCTTCGCACACCGGCGATGCCATAAGGGCTGTGTATCCACTGTGACACTTGCTGTACTCAGATACCGCTGACCCCCAACCATTGTCGTCGTCATCGTCCTTTGCAACAACGTCGCATTTACGTTTTTTTTTGCATTAGGAGCACGAAACAAGGTTCATACAGCGTTTGCCGCCCAAGCCACGGGTATTTAGGCAGTTTTGAGGTGTTGCCAACAGTCATGTGTTCATTCAACAACTGCAAAAACCACTGTAATTTATGACTAAATAGGTGGCGTTTGTTTATTCTGGTGGAGAATTTGGATGAGCGGGTGATGCGGAAGATGCGGGTTGGCGGCATCCAGCGCACCCCCGTACAGCTACAGCCAGGCTTAGCTGGATGCCAAAAACTGCATCGCCAGATTAAGGGCTTACCACCAACATGTTGTGTTGGGCCTATATTGATGCTAGGTTGAAGAGCAGAAAGCACGGTAAGAACTATGGGTCGTCGATGGTCTGCCGGTGGCCCAAGTCTGCTAGATACCAGAATTTAGTAATTTAGTATATACTGTATACTGATGACTAAGGAGTTGGCGGAAGTATCTCAAAATCATGAGTTCTATCTCATGTGGAAAAGTGCATTTGGGCCATTATTTCATACATAACTCCTAGCTCATGAGCCTGAGGCACTGAAAACATGATTTCAACATGAGCTTTGTAGAGTTTTTTCTTTAGCATGCTTTGGAGCACTTTGGAGAGGTTTTGTGGATGACAACGCATGAGGTAGGAGTTGTGAGGCCTATGATGGACTCGACATGGTTGGCGGTGGACAAACGCCAAGATTTTGAATGGTTTTGATAGAATGTCAACGGGATGTGCCATGTGCATGCCGGCAATTGAAACCTTGTGTCCGAAACGTGTCCAGACCTTTGTGAGATGGGACTTGCATGCAGGGTTGCCCTGTGTGTTTCCTATCTCTTCAGTCTCTGTAGAGCATGTCCATCATCCCAGCACACATGAGCTGAGACGTTCCCCAGGCAAGTGCTAACTCATCAGATCACCAAACTCCTAACTCATCTGCACAGAGTATAACTATATAGACTTAGGACACTTGATCAACTTAGGTGGACAATTTGGACCTAAACCTATTGTAAATATGTTTAGGTTGCAGCAGAAGTGCGCCAGGGACGTAAAGGCTTCCACAGGTAAAATTCAGAGGTAGTGTCACGGTAGGTGCCACAAGTAGACTACCTCGTGTCCTCAAGTATCATTCTTGCATGTTTTCAAGTACCGCTTTGACTTGTGAATCACTGGTGGGCAAAGTTCCAAGTATTCGCTTTACTTGTGGATTACTTGTGAGGTGCTTGTGATTGCTGTTGCTGGCATGTTGCTTCCACCTGTTTTTCAGCCAATTTTGTGCCTAAGATACATCAAGTGCCTTTCTTTCAAGGCCGCCTTCTTTCGGAGACGTGGATCCATCCAAACAACTTTGCCACAATGTTTGGACCCTTTAAAGCACCACACTAGGCAAGGATGTATGAGTCTTGCTGGTCCCAAGTCCCAAGTATATATTTTGGAGAAGCCTGCTCCTGTGAAATTGACACAAAATTATATGCAGGATGGAATTCTTGCAGCGCAGACTGTCCTTTCCAATGAATGTCCATCCAGAAGCTGAGGCAAAACTGTTTGATGATGTTTTATCGAAACTGCACCAAGACTTCATCAAATGTTCAGCATTTCTCTTGTTACACACTTTATCAAAGTTGTTCCTTTGTCACGACTTTTCATTAAATTGTCATGTGAGTTTGATCAATGTCCAACCATAAGGCCTCAAATTTTCATTCAGGTCAACGCCCTGCCCAGCAACAAGTTGCGAAACCTTTTCAGGGATCAATAAAGTCCCTTTGCAGATGGAAAGACCATCCTAGCACAGGCGTAAAGTGCACTTACCACTGCTATTTTGGTAGCCAGGACCCGCTCCATGCGCCCTTGTCAACCTCACGAAACCGGTGCAGTGTTCGCCTTTGGGAAAAGTGATTTAACAAGTGTCTTTTGGAGTTGCATTTCCTCTGTCAATCACTTACCTCCAGCTGTACGAGACAATCCTGTCCCACGGTCATTTTGTTATTTTTGTTTTTGTTTGCTATCTGGATCTATCTGGGAGCTACTACTGTAAAATTTGAAGTATTTTGGGCTGCAAGTCACCTCAATAGACCCCGCCCCTGTTTCTTTGCCTCCCCATTGTCGCCGCCTCTGGGCTAACTTTACAGGTCTATCACGGCAGGATTTGCAAGCCTTGTTTGCAGAGGGCAGCTGTTCCGACCTAGGAACTCATATCATCTCATATCCATCATTTGATTAGGCCTCTGTGGATCTTCTGCGCTCAACTTCTGATGTTTTTCTTCCTTCTTCTTGCTTCCGTACTTGGCATCCACCTTCTGCGCCTCTTCGATCTCTGAAAGCTCTAGTTTCACCTTCAGAATGGTGAGCTGACAGTTTTTTGTGCCAAGGAGGGGCCCGGGAATAAAGTTCCAGATCAATGCGTATAACGTGAACCGTAAACCCTCTGTGGAACAAAACACTGTCCGCACTCATTTTCTACAATGTTCAAGGTTGGTGGCCTTTACAAGCACTAAGCACAGTAAAGGTCCATGCCACCCCCTTGCCGAAGTGTGGTGCTTATCAACCAAACAACTGCGAATTAAACCAGTCTGAGAGTTGGTACCCCATGTCTCACAACCGTTGAAGCGCTACTTTTGGAGTCAGCCTTGTTGTTGGAAGAAAGTTCATAGTTTATACACCGTGAGGCTTGTGTTTTTGCTTTATTGTATGTCAAAAGCCCGTGGGAAACTGTGGGTAAAGATGTGGATGAAGCTGCATGAATGAAGGTTCTCCAAGCCGGGTTTGGGGCACCCTGCTTGTGCTGCTGAGTCATGTTGTTCAGAGCTCAGGGCCCTTTCTGCAAACACTTAAATTGAACGCCAGCAATATGACTCTTCAGGTTGGCAAGCCCGAGCGTTTGCTTGACCAGGCCACGGTTGAAACCCGATGTGATTTACCCATCGTTTTGTTTCAAACTCCATCCGGCCCTGATGTGGAGGTATATCGACAGATGCTCGCAGGCAATATCTCCGGTTTTGCTGAATTTGCTCAAATACGCAGTGTGAACCTCTCGGCTTTGGAGGTGCGGATTGGACATGTGAGATGTGTTTGGATTGTTTCCCAACTCCGCCAACCCCCATCATGGCCATGGCTGACGATGTTAGTGCTTCATTTTGCGTGTTAGTCATTGCAAACTGCAAACATCTGAAATTTACTTGCTGATGTTTGAGTGTTTTTTTCCTGCAACTTGTGTCCCTTTGTGTTGGAGTCTGCGCAAAATCTCAACGGTGAAACCAAAGGCTCGGAAGCTGCCAATTTTCATGTCCAACAACTTTGAGGCGGCCGTGTCCCGCCTGCCGTTTTCACCCTGCTAATAGAGATGAACACCTTGCAGATTGGTTCAGCTGCTTTAGACGTGTTCCAAGTCAGGAACTAAGCGATTTCGTGCTACTGCTCCTAGTCCTACTCCCACCCCTAACCCTACGGCTACTACTACCACTACTACCACTACCACCACTACGACAACAACAACAACTACTACAACAACAACAACAACTACTACTACTACTACTAGTGCGAATACGACTACGACATACTACGACTACTACTCCTCCTATGCCTACTGCCTACTACCTAGTCCCTACTGCCTACTACCTGCTAACGACTACGACGACTACTACTACTACTTCTACTACTACCTCAGTTACTACCTCTAGATACCAGTAGAACATTTTGTCAAGTCATAATCCCCCTAAGTTCGTGAATCACAAAGGGGAAAGACTTGCTCACTGATCTGACGGAATCGACGAACGTTGTAAGGCATTGTAAGGTTCAGGGCGATTTAAGCTGATGTAAGCAGCCAAGTAGGATACTGTTTTGGAGTTGGGTCCGAATTGTCACAGTTTGGGCTGTTCCTTTTCTGCTAGGATCGCGTTTTCTCCCCGGATGATGCGCTGGCATTCCTCGAGACACTCAGCTGCAACATTCCAGAAAACAGTAACATCCATCGATCTTTGCAACCGTGGATTCATAGATAAAGTCCGATTTTGCAACTATTTGTTCCGAGTTTAGGAATCCGCAACTGGGATTCCATAACTGTCAGGATTCCGGCAACACAACCACAGGCCCCAAGCATCCAAGTTTAAAAGCAAATGCTGGAGTGAGTGGGTTGGGGGGACAATCGTTCGATGGAATTGCAATCCAGGATCTCAGTTTCAGAACACCAGCTGCAGAATCTGACTTTCCAGTTTCAGAATACCGGTTTCAGAATCCAATCGATTAGTTTCCGAATCCTGCTCTAACCCTGCAACCATGTTCCAGATGAGTGACGATGCGTTTGCATTGCATTGTTTTTCAGGCGAATTGAGCCCGACTGAGGCATTACAAAGGGCCCAAGCGCTTGCTGCTGAACCAGGGCATTCACGCGAGTGCTGAGATTCCAGGCGACCAGGGCCGTGTTGTTTGGGCAAGAGGAGAGGGCCACATTTCACAGTGTCCATTTGTTTGGTGCATTGTGTGTGCATGTTTCAGCATGTTTCCCTCATTGCTCCGCGTTCATTTCACCCGTATTTTGCAAACGAAGCTGCAGGCTTCAGGCTGGAGATCATTTTGTGAACTGCACAGTCTGTAGTTGTTGGGCTCACTTTGCTAAAGACAAAAAAGAGCTGATGCCCACCAACCTTCGCGCCCTCCCGAAATTATCATTATTTGTGATTTAATGTTTGATCATGTTTGACCTCATGGACCAACCAATGCTCTTTAAATGCAAAAACGACCGTTTAAAATGTCTTAAGCACGTTGCGTCCAACAACTTTGTTGAAACCATTTCACGGGCGGCTGGTTCTGTTGAGACGCATGCCCCGGTTTTCCTGGTGTAGTATGGTGTAGTATGAAAGTGGTAAGCGTCTCACTTTGACTTGCTCAAAATGTCAATTTCTTGACCAACACAAGACATTACTGGACACTTCAAGAGGAAACAATGTGCATCACCCCCACAATGCGGAACAACGTAGGACACGCTTTGCTTTTGGTAGATATGGGCCCAAGGGTGTCATAAGTTGGAACGTTGTGGAGGGTTGTAGAGGAACAACACACATATATATATATGTATATCTACGTCCCGTGGAAGAAGACTTAATTTTGTTTGGTGCTCAAAGCCTAACTTTTCCTGAACTGCAAGGCCTTTTCGGTCTCAAAAACCATGTATGGGCGGAGGCTAAGTGTCCTGGCTGCCATGCGTCGGTCCTCGGACACATTGTCACATGAGCACCCACATGTTTCTGGTCATTTAGTATCATTTAGTTATTGTATGAGTAGAATATGGTAGGTATTGTTTTATATAAATGTTTTTTGGTTTGTGAAATTTGGTGTGCCCAGGAAATGGCTTCATACCTATTTGAAGGGTGAAGCCTACCCAGCACCGCCACTCCTGGAAATGCAACTGCGCTCAAACTGGGCAACGCGAGAGCAGTTTGACCTGTGGCCTAGTGCCCGTATTGAATACAGCACTCTTGCGACTCGGCCTAAGCGACACAGCATGCCACTCATGCGGGCTCCATTGACTGGATGCCCCACATTCCTCACCAGACGCAGCCTGTGCAAATGTTGCCTGGCTCGTCAGGTGCCTTCACCGCGAGGTACTGACTTGTACGGAGAACTAGCGACCAAAGCGTCGCCCTCAGAGCAAGTCTTTGACACAATCACTTTCTCAAAGGCCACAGGCATATCAGCAGGCGTGGCGCTGAAATGAGACACGAGCGGGCCAACAAGGTTAACTTAGGGTGAATCATGAACAGGACTTCTGCAAAAGATGTTACTCGTACTGCAAAGTCTGCCTGCACTCTTTCAAATGCTTGACTTTCTGGATTCGCTGGAAATGCAAAGCTTTGCAAATGTGGCAGGCCTTCCTTATGTTGGCGAGGCGATGCAGGTTTTTGTTGACCATCGCATCCGCTCAAAGTTGCTTTCAAGCTCCAGGCACAAACACGCCGGCTTTTCCTACCCTCCTTTAACATTTGTTTAGCCGGTTGCTTCGCAAAGGCAACATGCAATTTGGTATTACAAGGAGGTTTCGGACACGAAGCTTTGCAGCATAGCTTGCTCAAACAACTTGTACAGCATTCAGACTCCTTTACTCCTTGTGATATTTTTCAGTTTTCTCGTGGGCTAGTCGTTGCATGGAATCTTCTACAGAGTTTCTTCCGCACACTGAGGAGACTCTGTGGAACTCCACGACTGACGTTGGATCTCACAGCTTCACACTCCAAATGGCAGATTGTTGCCTACCTCTTTGGCGTGAACCGACGAACCAAAGTAGGTTCGGTCTTCTTCGACCGTTCGAATGGGGATAGTGGAGGTATTAACAAACCTATTAGTATGATATGAATGTGTGCACTAATGTGTGCTTGGCGCTTGCATCCACAATCACAATCGGCTTTGTGGCACTTGGAAGGCACCCTGATCAGCCATGGCTCCGTCACCTGCTGGAATTGCACTGCTGGTGTGAGAGGCGACGTGAGCTTTCGGTTTTCAGTATTCGGCTCCTGTCCGAGCAGATCTTCGGATCGTGTCACCATGTTCTTGAGACCTCAGGCACTCATCATATCACGCTTCGTTCCCTTTGTGAAGATCTGGGTGGCTGGGGCATGGGTGGTGTGGGGTTGGCACTCAACATGTTCTCAGAGCTCTACCAGCCTGCCAACGCCGAGGAGAATTGGCCTGCATGCGCAGGGGCTGGAAGCGATGCTGTCAGTTTGTTTTTCAAACTAGTATATAGCTAAGTAGCTACGAACTTATTTCCAACAAACACATAATCCTTTGCAAGCCTGTTTCGGCCTGTACCAAAGTAAAGGATATGAGTTGCTTTATATAGATCATCTTTAAGGTATCTCTAAAATCCATCTTAGATTATATTTAGCGGATAGTTCCTTGGTACCTTGACGTTGAATCTGGATACTGAAAGGACCAGGATCAGCCAAGTTCGTGAGTTGGCTCCTGAATTTGACAGGAGAGCTTGGCTATAAACCTGCACTATTCCAGCAGCTTCTCCCTGGTGGTGCCCATCACAGAGAAGGATGCGCCTAATTTGTCCACTATTGTGTAAAGTAGTGGCGACATAGCTTGTTTCGCACAAGGATGCTGAATGCTCCGGATGCAGTTTTGTCAGACCTGGTACCATTTGGTATCCGTTGTGTGGAGCTGATTTCAATAGCTCCTGTAAAGCTTTTCTTGTTCTTTGCATCTCTTTGCAAAATGCTGCAATGCCTCAATCTCTGGGCTTTGATAGCTAAATAGTTGTATTTGGCCTTTCCCATTGGCATTGGCGCACTGCTGCAGCAAACATGTTTTCCTGCCAGGGAAGTCCATGGCATTTGAATGCTGCTAGCACTATATATTTGGTTGTGCATTGAACATCGTTCTCATACTCGCAATGAAACCGTGTCCTCGGTCCTCCGTCTTGCAGATTTGTTGCCATCTCAATGGAGCGCAGATGTGGGCACATCACCGACAGACTGCCTGAGCAACTTCCACCTCCTTCCCAGGTTGAACCCTTTGTACATGATCAGAAAAGGGGAATCGTAGCTTAGAGACAGGCTGTGGCACTGGAAAAGCCCGCTGCCAGGCAATCAGACTTTTATATAATTGAAAGAGGTAACTCGAAAAGAATAACCAGAGGAAACGACTTCCAAACAGGATTCCTGTAAAGATTCCTACGTAGATGCCTTTCAAGCAGCTGAAAGGCCGTTGCCCATCACATGACATGTATCCTTCGTGGCATGATGGTTATGGCGGCAAGTCACTTGGTCGTGGAGGCACCGGCTGACGAGTCATGTTGATGTCCATTGGGGGTGGGGGTTCTCCTCAAGCTTGCTGGACAAGGTGCGCGTTAAGGTCACTACGCACTTGACCAAACATGTCGGATATTTGGCATGTCTTTTTGTTTGTGCCATGCTTTCTCGTCCATTTTACCTGGTTCATCCTGGCTCTGTATCCTTCGCCTTTGCCACTTTTGTGGTTGCTGCTTCTTTGCTTGTCTCCCTGGCGATTCGTAGCTATGATCTTTTTGTTCTGCTGCATATGCATTCAACAGGGTACTGCAGTGTTTAAAGTGATTGAACGGCTGCTTGTTGGATCAACTTCAAAATGCGACGTGTCATGGACATGTACCAGTAGCATTTTGTTAGGCCGGTGGGGCCCAAACCAAGATTCGCAAGGACCTGAGCTGCTTGTTTTGCCAAAGCCACCTCTGAAGTAACATGTCCTCCCTTGTAATCTCAGGTGGCAGATCGATTGGATAGATGATGAGCACTTCAAGTTGGAGCGAGGGACTTAAGGTTCTCATTCTTGTAGAGACCCTGGCGCAAAAGTGTTGGCCGAACTAAACAGAGTTCATTCTCGGGATTTGTATGACAGGACTCATGAGCATAGGGTGCTTGAACTAGGGAGCCCGCGATTTAAGAGCAGTTTGACACCCGGAAACGAGGTTGGAAGAGAAGTTTATCAACGATGATGGCATCGAGGACCCATGAATTGTGGTTCAGACACCGACTGCATTTTGAAAGGCTGCGGGCTGCTCCAAGTTGGTTGGTGTCGGCATATTGCCTCACATTTTTTTTGTCCATATCAATATTTTTGATGACTTCAGGATTGGTGTTCCTGGATGGACAAGCAACTTCAGATGCTCTTTCCAGCCTGGCCCTTTGCATGGAAGACTCTTAGGGCCTCCAAAAGAATCAAGAAGTACGACACAGGTTGTCTATGGCACGCACTCAGCACTTTTGCGTTTTGTTGGCCACGGTCAATGTATGCTTTGCATCTATTTAGTTTTCCACAACAGACGTCGATTTGGTATGAATTGACTATGCACATTCTTGCTATTTTATGCTATTTTGATGCTTGCCCAGGATGGAAAGAGGCGCAACCTGGTAGCTTCCAAGTGCGAATCCCGGGACAGCATGTACTGACTGTAGGAGCACGCGCGCAGTTTTGGTGGATTCGCTGAGGCTGAGCTTTGCCCGGAACGAGATCTCTGACGATACTAGGCTCTGTTTGACCAACACGTCTTCAACATGTTCGACCTGGTTCCACGCTTGTGATACTTTCTTTGCAACGCTTTGTGATCTTGGAAATCCGTTGAACTCACTACTTGTACTGAACTCTAAGCTGCTCACAGCCAAGGAGGGTGTCCGGACTTTAGTGAACTACTTGGTGAGGCCAGGCAGAATCGGTCTCATTCCCTTTCCCGGTCAACCATGCCGAGTGCGAAGAGATCATTGTTAAGCTTTGCATAACAAAGCATGCATGGGTTGAATCCTCCTCAAAGTGCTTACAATGCGAAAATCTGAGACAAGCATCCCAAGCACCAGTGCTTAAGAACTAAACGTAATTTTGCCGGCCCAACCAGGGCCCAAAATGCTTCCGAACGGTGCGCATTTCTCAGATTGGTGTATGCATATTCACAGCGCTTCGCGCTCGAAGCCGCCCGCACGGAGTGTGTGCGTTTGTTTGTCTCGGTCGGTCTGTCTCGGTCGGGCAGGACACGGACGAACACACGCACGATGTCAATAGTCTGTTTCGGTCTATCTGTCTCGGTCGGTCTGTTTGGGTCTGTCTGTCTCGGTCTATCTGTCTCGGTCGGTCTGTTTGGGTCTGTCTGTCTCGGT